GCTGTATTCCGTACGTCCAAATTGGTTTCAACATGACTTTGTACAGATGAAGTTTGTTCCATGTGCTCAACTGAGATTTTCGGTTAAACAACCAGTACAGTTTTGTTGAGGAAATGCTTAACATTTTTATTTTTCAGCCAAGTACTTTTGTTATACAAGGCAAATTTATAACTAGCTGTAAGTGGAATTCTGTCTTAAGGCAATTAGGGCATCGTGCCTTAAGGCAAATTGCTGGAACTTCCCGTACTAAAAATTATTATTTTTTTAAAAACGATTAACATTTTTGAAAAAAAATTACTTCGAAAAAATAAGATTTTTGAGAAGTTATAAATTTGACAAAAAATTACTTTTTTTTGAAAAAAAAAAATTTAATTTTTTTTTTGAAAAAAAAAATGTTTTCTTTATTTTGACATATGTTGGAAGATCTGAATTTTTTTTAAAGCAATCATACTGCTTTAACTGCATAGAGACAAAATATGAAGCGCGTAAGCGCCGCGCCGCCGTCTAACGCATAAACATTGGTACGGAACCCATAGGAATGGAAACAAAATTTATACTTATTGTTAAAATCTCTATAAAATATCTGATAATTTGATGTGCATATGTCTAATGATCATTTTTGACCGCCAAATGGCTTTTTTTTACTTTTTTTACTAGATCTCTGAAACCGCTAGACCTGCCTTCATGAAAATTTGATCAGTTCTCTGTTAATACAAGTAAAATGTTTTTTAAATTATTCAAATCGGACGCTCCGTTCTCTTAAAAACTTAGTTACCGTTTTTGGCACTTTTTTCCTCATATCTTCGGAACGGCTAGACCTGCCTTCGCCAAAAACTAATCAGCACGTCTCCTTATCAATACGAATCAAATGTTTTGTGAATTATTTTAATCGCTTCATCCGTGTTCCCGAAATCGTCGACGAAAATTTGTATCCGAACACACATACACATACGCAAACACACACACATACATCGATTTTTTCTAAAGTATGCCAAAATGTTCAGAAACCTTTGAAACGTAAAGATATATAAAAAATTTTATTTTCGATTTTTTTTCGATTACTATAACTTGCTCTACGGAAAGTTAAAAAGTTCCTTACTCTTGAAATTGTCTACTCACTGAATGATTTGAAATAAAGTCTACAACTGGTAATTAAAAACCGTGTTCTTCATAATTAATTATTTAATAATATATTATTAACTTTACAATTATATCATTTTTTAAATCAGTTACATCCACGTGCGTCCACATTTTACCAAGAATTCAATGATTTACATAAAGTAGTTTGTATATGAATCATCTCTTCAACTCTGGAAATCCGTCTGTAGATCACAAATGTCCACATAATTTATTTACGACTCATTCATGAGTCGCTCACGAAATTGTTTTGAGTCATACTAATCGAAAAGATTTATTAAATTGAAACAGTTATTAACAGATTGCATTTTTGAGGACCAGAAATTGATTGATGAATGGAAAAGATATAGAAAAGATAGAAATTAGTGGAAATTAGTTAGATAATATTCTGTTGATCAATTGGAAGTTGCATTATGCCAGTTACACGTAGTTTGATATAATTATCTGCAAATACCATCATGCGGTGTGTAATGCAAACACTAAACATAATTTATCAATACCTTTACCTTATATAAATAAAAGATACTGTACAACTTGATACAGTACCCGCCGTTTCATATTTATTATTACTCAATGCAAGACTATATCGTAATGTATAATATGCATTCGAAATTATTACAATATTTATTTAACGAATAACTCATTTCGGTCTCTTATCGCAAACATTAAAAAACTTTTGCCTGATAACGATATTAATATATGAAAACAGTATTCGATATTTGCATTCGGTTTGCAATCAGGTTGGAAGGAATGGAATAATTGAGTTTGATAAGGTTTAATAATCAGGGGATGCCGATTGAATTAATTAGAGGATACCGATGGATAGATATTAACTAGATTGGTGTATTAATTTATAAAATGATACTTCAGTATATTAAAATAATTTTTTAATAAATTATTTTGTGAAATTTTAAGCATATGCTACATGAAAATATTGACACGATTAAGTATGGGACTGTGCTCTCGATATTATTTAATCATTTAAATTATTGGTTACATTTTGTAAAAAAAATAGAGATATTTTTTAGACTGCTCCTTAAATAAATAATTTCTGTGAACAATGCATAAAACCATAAACTTAAGATAACAAGGTTTTTACGGAAACGGGCACAAAAAAGAACCTTTTGCTGGATTTTAAATTTGTGAAATCTAGTCGAGATTTTGAGAAAACGTTGACCACTCGTCGTGGAGCAGTAAATTTTTAGTATGTTTAGTACTTCCATTGAAACATCATAAAAAAAATTCATGATCATTGTCAATTTTTTTTCCGACACCCTATGGGCTGATTTTGCCGCACAACAGACCATTATTATGACAAGGATATGTTATTAAGAACTTTCCATACTAAATATTGACAAGAGCCATATGGTTGCTGTGCAGTCAGACGTTTTTCTCAGGTTGTCAGATAGAAAACCTAACCTAGAAACCGCACAATGTCAAAAAAACGATGTTACATAACAGGGTCTTTTTGACCCAGCTTCCTAACATACGAGTGACGTTGCAGTTTATGTGTAAAACGCCTGAATGCATAGCAAATAAATGACATTTTGACAGTATTCAGTGTGATTTATTAGCATTAGTATAAGCAGAATCGGTCCATTAATTACGAAGAAACGGCCCGGCCGATCTTTACCAAATACGCGGTTCCCAATCAATATCTTTTGATCAGAATATTTGACTTTTCTGTTAATTACAAAGAAATGGTTGATCAATCAATGCGAGTTCTTATTAAGATTCATCAAACGACTTTTAATTTTTTTAATTGGTCCTGCAAGCCAATATAATAACTATTTTCAGAGAAATAGTTAATACTACAACTGAAGACATTTTTTTTGAAATTGGGATGACAGATATATCCTGGACGTTTTGGAATAAAATACGTGTTATCATTCAACTGTCCATAGTAAATATTATTTTTAATCATGAATCCATTTTACTTTCACTTTCATATTTCAAAATCTAAGAACGATTAGTCTGTTTATCAAACTATTTAGTTGCGCAAAAATAAGAATCGTTCTCGATTTTATCTGTCAATTTGTGTCCTGGTACATTTGATTAAGTTCTGTGTTTTATGGTCGTTTTAATTCGTAAATTATCTGTGTTTTTTCTCCATTCGAAGGGAGCGTTCGGTTCAATTAGTCTTAATTGATTCATTAAAAATAACCGAAGCGTTTTATTCTGTCAGAGTCTCAACCCGAACAGAAATATATGCGGGCACTCTGTCTATTTACTCGGATTAATGTTTTATAAATTAATATAATATGATACATGAATACATCTTGTATCATAAACTAAAAGATAGAGGAGTTTTAAACCGAAAATCAAAAGAGGAGAAATTCAATCATTATAAAATATTTCCAATAGTACCACATCGATTCCGCAGATTGTCGACGAACATCTTGTTTTATTATTAGAAAAATGTTATGTTAGATATCTAGATTGTATATATATATATATATATATATATATATATATATATATATATTATATATATAAAATATATATATATATACTAGGGTGGTCCTTAATATGGGCATTTTCGAATTTTCTTGCTCCCAAGGGCTCAAAAGGTTCCAAATTGATAAAAAACAATTCTCTGAAAGTTTTTGCTCTTAATATTGTCTTTTAGATAGAGCGCAATTCAAAGTTTTGTATGGAAATAGCATGAAAAAATTTACAAAAATTTTGAAAATGTTTTTAGATATAATTTAGCGAACAAATGAATGAGTTTTATTCAAAAATTTTGTCGCTAAGTTATACCTAAAAAATTTTTTTTTAATTTTCAAAATTTTTTCTATGCTATTTCCATACGAAGTTTGATTGAACTGCGCTCTATCTAAAAGTTAAAATTAAGAGCTAAAACTTTCAGAGAATTGTTTTTGATCAATTTGGAATCATTTGAGCCCTTGGAGGCAAGGAAAATTCGAAAATGTCCATATTAAGGACCACCCTAATATAAATATATATGCAGGGTATCCCAGAACTCAATGTAAATCGCTAGTATTGATCGTAATTGTCCTGAAAAAAAAAATAAAATTAAAATATCTCACGTTCCTTGGAATTTTCTAGCTTTCCAGCACAAACTTGAGCTCTGGCGAAATTATGACTATTTTTCGGTTTTTGTGGTTAATATTTATTACTTTTGTTGATTTAAACTTTCGAACCGTAACCCTGAGTAACATTTCTAGGACCCACAGTCCAAAATAATGACAATTGAATTAAAACTTTTTGTTGAACTGTGAATTTAAGTTTTTTAAAATAGGTCGACTTTGAGAGGCCCTCAATGACAATTTTAACCAAAAGTTGGCGCATTTAATTAAAATGTAACATGGGTAAATAAATAATGGTAAATGAGTAAAATTAAAATTCGAAAATTAATTCCAAAATTGCTGATGCACTCAAATGTTTTTGTTTCGCATAAGCTCTTGGGGGTTTCCTAATTTTACTGTGAAAAGGTGATAGATAGATATTGAATATAATTGGATATGTTTTCTGTAAAATACCACTTTTGATTATAATAAGTATTTAAATTGTTTCCCAACTGCGAAAATTAATGCCTTATATCATCTTACTAAAGATGTATTTATCATCTGGGCTCATTCTTAAGAGTTGATCCCTTCAGCAGTTTTTTAGATTATATTATCTAAAAACTGTTTTTGTAATTTTTTTGGATAACATTTAGTGCGTTTATAAATAAATTTTAAAACAAAAGACCAGCTGCTCTTATTTGATTAAATTTGATCTAATGGACAACTCTTAACCTTAATGCTTTAGAGCCCTACCCGTGGCGTTATTATTATATATTATATATTGTCAGTATTATTATTATTTTTATTAAGTATATTAATTTTTTTTATTTTCAGAATCAAAATGTCTGCAGTAAGTTATTGGGAAAATGATACAAATATGACACTGCCTCTTATTCACGAATCCGAACTGCAAAATGATTATCAAGAATTATCAAGGTAAATTATAAATAGTTCATAATATTAAAATTAGCAGAATATTATTATTGTTATTAAAATGCAAATCAAATTAAATATAATCAATCCCTAAGTTACCTAACCTTACAAGAAGCATGCAATTAATAATAATAACAAGCAAGCAAATAGTTAACACAATGTTTTTAAAAAATAATTTAACACATTTTTTTACTTGCATTGTATTATCATGATATTTATAAACCTGATGAAAACAAAACAATATTGTTGAAAATAATTTTGTAAAAATTAGCTTTTTGTTATATCAATTAAACAATAAGCCAACTAACAATTCCCATGATCTTCTGCTAAAATCCTCGGTAAATTTCCATGAACTTTGAACCTCTGACTTTAATCAGCGGTTTCGTTTAAATATATACATATACATATATATATATATATATATATATATATATATATATATTGTATGTATATGTCGTCTTAATTGCCTTCATAAACGAAACTAAATCATCCCTCATCCAGCAAACACATTTTAATTGGAACTGCCAAAGACCAGCCAAGGTCTCCTCCGAATTTTACGAGATGCACTAAAGACACAGCTTTTACGCTTTTACAGCACAACAAAGTCTTATTTTATTTACTAAAATAGAATTACGTCTTGGAAAACACTTTTACATTGTGGAAGATAGTCTAAGTTAACAATATTGTTGTTCAAAAATATAAATGACATATTATAAATGCAGGATGTCCCAGAACTCAACGTCAAATTTTCTTTCCTCTTTTTTTGTCACAGAATTATGTCACAACCTGTATATCTGAAATACTTATTATTGTATTGATAGAACAAATATGAGGGATGATATACCTACGGGTAAAAATTCGAAATAAGAAATATTATGTACACATATATATTTACTGAAATATATTTATTTATTTATTATTTATTAGGTTTTCCAGACCATTGTTGACATTTGCAGCAACTGCCACTATCACAATTATGATAGTTGGGATTTTGGGCAATTCTTTAACTGTGGTCGCACTTTTGAGGTGTCCTAAGGTCAGGAATGTAGCTGCTGCTTTCATAATTAGGTAAAAATAGTAATAATTAAGTAGAAAACAAAGATACAAAATTATAAACTTAGATTTATTTTTTATTTTTTTCTTCTAAATTACAATCTGTCTAAATAGAAAGACATTGAGTAATTAGTTTGACAAATAACATTGAGTTTCAAAATGAAATCCCAGTGGTTCACCTTTTATTAATGTATTATATCTTAATTAAATTTTGGTATTATAAAGAAAAAAAAAATATATACATACAATTATAAACAAAATACATTTAGATTTATGATTTTTATATATTCTATATCATCTTTATATACTCTACAGTGTAGAGTAATACTGTGTAGAGTACAGTGTAGAGAATATATATGTGCAAGATAGTGTAGAGTCTACACTATCTTGCACATATATATTCTATACAATCTTTTTTTTATTTATATCCTATACTATCTTAATGTTTTTCCAACTGATGACTTCATTCATCCATAAGTTTCTTCTAAATCTGATCTTCTTGAATTCTAATCTTGCTTACTTTTTCTTCTTTCTTCTAAGTTTTTATTCAAATTCAACTCAACTTAATTCTGATCTTCTCCAATACAATCTTCTCTTGATTTTTTCTTACTTATAATTTTATTCAAATTTAATTCAACAAGTCTAATTATATTCAATCTATAATATATATCTAGATCATATAATCTATAATATATTATCTATAGATAACTAGTGGTGTATGGCATCGTGCCTTAAGGCAAATTGCTGGAACTTCCCGTACCGTAATGAAATATTCGAGAAATTTTAAACGTTTTCAACTATATTATTACAAATACTGTAACTTTCATTATTTTTGCATTATCTTGTTATATCTGAGCAAATTAAATGTAAATCATAAATCAATTTATCTCCAGGACAATAACAATCGTCATTTCATTTCAAATTCAATTTAAAAAAAAAAATAGTTACACAAAATTGAAAAAATGCTCTCTTATAGTTAACCGCACTTATACTGTGCTTAGCTTGGCGGCATTTCGAATTCAATTTCAAAAAAATAGTTGCCGATTAATTTACACAAAATTGAAAAAGTGCTCCCTTATAGTCACAGTCTAAACGCATTTGCAAATAATTCTGTGCAACATTTTCACTTATACTGTGCTTAGCTTGGCGGCATTCTCATATTTTTCAATAGTTTTCACAAAATTGGAAAAGTGCTCCAGTGCATATACAGTCTAAACGCACTCGGGTAAACATTTGTACTAGAGTGGTGCTTAGACTATGCTTAGCCTGGGTCATTTTTTGAATTTTTAATCCAAAATTACAAGAATATTTTATGAAAAATAAAAAAAGATGTAACAATTTTTTATCCTCAATGTTTTGTCAATACAAGCAGAAAGTTTTTTAGATCATTCAAATAGGACGCTTAGTTCACTCAAAAACTGCGATTTTTTGCACATTTAGCTCTGTATCTTCGAAATGGCGGGACCTGCCTTTGCCAAAAACTAATCACCTCTTCTACCAATCATTACAAATTGAATGTTTATCAGATCATTCAAATCCGATACTCCGTGCTCTCGAAAACTCTATTTGTATTTTCTGCATTCTTTGCCCCGTATCTCTGTAACGGCTGGACCTGCCTCTGCCAAAAACTAGTCAGCACGTCTCCCTAACAATAGGGATCGAATGTTTTTTAAACCATTCAAATCGGTTGATCCGTGAAGGAAAAAATGCGGATACACAAAACACACACACACACATTTTTTCTGAGGTATGCCAAAATGTTCAGAATCCTTCAAAACGTCGAGAAATGCAAAAATTTTCAATTTCGATTTTCGGCTCATTACTATAAATACTCTACGGGAAGTTAATAAAGAAAAAATCCATTAATTATTCATTTTGCCCTTTGATCAATTTCAACTTCATTTTGTATTGCCTTTATAATTCACTTACATATTTATTTCTATATTATTTTTTCCAGTTTATGTTTCGCCGACCTGGTCTTCTGTTCCATCGTCCTGCCCTTCAGCGCGGCCAGGTTCGTCCAGGGAACCTGGTCAGGCGGAACGACTGATTCGTCAGGTAGAAGCCTGATCAGCTCTGAAAATGAAGGCGTCATGGGTAACGTCACGTTGTGCAAACTGGTGCCTTTTATGCGTTACGGAAGTGTCGGAGTGTCTTTGCTGTCCATTGCCATGATCACTGTCAATAGGTAGGAATAGTAATAAAAAGATATATATATATATATATATATATATATATATATATATAGGGTGGTCCTTAAAATGGTCATTTTCGAATTTCCTTGTTCCCAGGGGCTCAAATGGTTCCAAATTGATAAAAAAACAATTCTCTGAAAGTTTTAGCTCTTAATATTAACTTTTAGATAGTTCAATCAAACTTCGTATGGAAAGAGCATGGAAAAATTTTCAATAATTTTAAAAATGTTTTTTATATGTAATTTAGCGAACAAATGAATGAATAAAACTCATTCATTTGTTGCTAAGTTATACCTAAAACATTTGTTTTAAATTTTCAAAAATTTTTTCATGCTTTTTCTATACAAACTTTGATTGAATTGCGCTCTATCTAAACGTTAATAATAAGAGCTAAAACTTTCAGAGAATTGTTTTTTATCAATTTGAAACCATTTGAGCCCCTGGGAGCAGGGAAATTCGAAAATGACCATTTTAAGGACCACCCTAATATATATATATATATATATATATATATATATATATATATGCTAGCTGACCCGGCAAACGTTGTTTTGCTAAGTAAGGTATACTCTAGACAATTTCTAGAGAATCAAATAAATTAATACTTTTAGTATATAATTATGTGTTGTTTGAATGCTATGTACAATGAGGTATTATAGAAACAATTGTTTCTATATTTGGTTTATATTGGGTTTATTAATAAACCCCATTAGTTGGTCTATATCTTGTCAATACAATCAAAACTGAAAGTTTTATACACTTTCTATAGAAAACATGGTATAATCCAATCCAAGTCTTTTTTGGTCTTTCGACTTATTGATTACGTTTCAAGTTTCTCAAATTCTTTTTGGATTCTGGATTTTGAGTATAATTCTAAATAATAGTACTGAGCTTATACAAAATTTTCAAGTTTCTGCGAAGAGAGATAGTAAATAAATATTTCTTCTTTGACCTGCTTTTTGAAAGGTTTTAAGTAACATTCGATGAATTAAAGTAAATTTAATAAAAAGTATATATGTAGAGCAGGGCGAGGCACAAAGGTCGAATTTGACTTTGATAAAATATTAGGTTGTCAAATATCTCCCTTCCGCCTTTTTGTATTATAAACCAATAGCAAAAAAGCGGAAGGGGGATATTTGACAACCTAATATTAATTATATTGTGAAAACCAAAACAATTATATCACAACAAATAACACATATCGAAAGAACAATTATCTGACTACGTTCAGTAAAACTGCCAGCTACTTCATCATTGTAGAAATGTGCTTTTTTTGCTGTGTTTCAAAAATACGTTATCTAGATCTTTTTACTCTATAGGGTTAATGTCTTATTTTAATTTAAAAAGTATTTTCCAAAATAATTACATTTTTAACTAATGCTAAAAAACTACCAACGGAAGAAAATACTTTTATTATGGATTTTCAAAGATTACCCTTTATCGCCCGATAGCAAAGTCATAAGAATCAAGGTGATAGCTGGCTATACATCTTTTTCCCTCTACTTTCAAATATTGTTGTTAAACAATGCTTAACTTTACTGGTTTTTGACACATCGGTGATGAACCTTTTTAACCCCAGACCTTCATATATTACTATCTATTCTTCGATAAATTCTGGGAAATTATAACTGGGAAAATGCTTTTCGACAAAATGTCCATTTGATCGATACCAAATTTAGGTTCTGAATTTAAATAACATAAATAAAAAATAATGTAACCTAGAAAATGTTTTATAAATACCAATGAGTATATAATTATACAAATGAGATCTTTCAGAGCACCGTGTTTAAGAAAAATATGATTTGCAAAAAAAGAGTGCAGCATTTCAAAAAAGTTGATATTTCTTTCGTTTCTAGTAGCACTTGTGATCCGTTTAATAACGTTTTTGTGTACAAATAAAACTACAAACAAAACTACTTACTACAATTTAATCGTAATTAAATAATATTCACGTAAAACATTCTATTAAACGTAATTGAACATTATCTGTAAAAAACTTTTGACATTTGACGTAATAGCCACCGTCCATTGTTTTATTCAAATTGCGCTTCTACAAAAATTTTCAAATTAAACATGTAAAGTTTCTACGCTATTTTGAAATAATATCTCGGCTTTCCGACAACCTACTGATTAGCACGAATTTTTCAAGACTAAGACTGGCCAAATCGGTCTAGCCGTTTTCGAATTTTAGCGGATCATTTTATCGACAGCTCCATTTTTATATATAAGAAGATATGAAGAATCAAATGAATATGTTTTTTTATTAATTTTGGTTTTTGTTCAATTTTAGATATATAATGATAACTCATTCTGGAATATATGCTCGAGTTTACAGAAAAAGATATATTGCAGCAATGCTCATAGGAGCTTGGATCTTCAGTTATGGATTTCAGGTAAATAATTTAAATTTTAACTACGATTATTAGTTAAGTAATCCACAAATACTGATATTTATAAAAGTGATAGTTTCATGGCATAGGTTAGTCAGTAGCATGCTCGACTCACACGCCAGAGATACTCGGTTCGAATCCTGGCAACATCAATAATGAATTGTGAGACTGAATAAAAATATGCCTATGTATACTTTAAAATGAATTAAATAAACAATTTGATTTGCAATTTATTTTGCAAATATGCAAATTTGATTAAAAAACAATATGTTGAAGTTGGAATTTGAGTTATTGAGCTGACATTGAATAGAATTAGAAATATGAAGGAAAAACAGATAAATTTAGAAGAAATAAGAAACAGGACTTTGTAGAAAACTACAGCTAAATATATTGTAAATTTTGGGATTTTTCCTTCGAATTGACCTTTCATATATCCAATCCTATTAAACTTTTATGTTACTAAATTAGATATTTATTTTTAACTTCGCATAGGGCAAGTTATAGTAATCGCAAAAAAATCGAAAATGAAAATTTTTATATATCTTTACGTTTCAAAACCTTCTGAACATTTTGGCATATCTTAGAAAAAATGGATGTATGTGTGTGTGAGTGTGTATGTGTGTGTGTGCGTGTGTGCGTGTATGCGTGTATGTGTGTGCGTGAGGATACAAATTTTCGTCGACGATTTTGGGAACACGGATGAGGCGATTTGAATAATTTAAAAAACATTCAATTCGTATTGATAAGGAGACGTGCTGATTAGTTTTTGGCGGAGGCAGGTCTAGCCATTCCGAAGATACGGGGCAAAAAGTGCCAAAAACTGTAACTCAGTTTTTCAAAAAACATTTTACTTGTATTGACAAGATGAAGAACAGATTTAATTTTTGGGAAGGCAGGTCCAGTGGTTATGGACTCTCATTGAAAATAAGTTAAAAAAATGTCATTTGGCGGTCAAAAATGTTTATTGGACATGTATACATCAAATTATCAGATATTTTATAGAGATTTTAATAATGTGTACACATTTTGTGTAATTTTTTGGGGTTCCAGATTTTTAATTACGATACGGGAAGTTCCAGCAATTTGCCTTAAGGCACGATGCCATGCGCCCCACTAGTTAATCAATTAATCCACAATTACTGATATCTTTAATTGTTAAGTGCTATATGACGTAGGTCAATATGCTTGACTCACACACCAGAGATCCTTGGATCGAGTCCTGGCAGTGTCTTAACAATAATGTATGAATTATAAAGTCTGCAAATATGTTGAAGTTGATTAATTGTATAACAGTTAATTAACAACATGTTACAGCTGAAATTGTATAGAATTTGAATGATTCAGTTGAAAATTGAATAGAATTAGAAGAATGAAGAAAAAAAGATGGATTGAGAATGGTAAATTTTGGAATGTGTCCTTTGAATCAACGTTTTATTTCTAATCCTATTAAATGTTCATGTTATTAAATAAGTTAGATATTATTATTTTAATTAAATATTTATTTTTATCCCAGGTTCCCACCCTGTTGGGTGTATGGGGCGCTTTCGCCTACGACCCTCGCCTTGGCACTTGCAGTGTTACCAAAGATTCTAGGGGAGCATCGAGTAAAACGGCCTTGTTCGTCGTTGGATTCGTCACTCCTTGCATTGTTATCATCGCTTGCTATGCCCGAATTTTCTGGGTGGTACACAGGTAAAAAAATACATAGTTATTTTAAATTTTAAGTTTACTTAAAGCTCAAATTTGGTGAAAATATAGGTCTATGCGTGCTTATTGATATTTGTATGAAGTCCTAAAATTATTTATTTACTTTGAAAAAATAAATTCAAAATAAGTTTTTAACTATTTTAAAGTAAGATGGGATATTTTGCTCAATGCGCCAATTAAAAATGCCTAGTATATAAAATATATTTATATACATCGTATTTCCCAGGAATTAAATTCAGTAGACGACATTTTACATTCATTCATATTTTACTCACGTCATAGTTCATTTATGTTATTATTTTTGTATTACTGTTTTTATTTTAATTTATTTTATTTTAACATTTTAACTTACCGTATTTTGCATTTTCGACGTTTTGAAGGTTTCTGAACATTTTACTGGCATACCTCAGAAACTAAATGGATGTGTGTGTGTGTTTTGTATGTCCGCATTTTTTCGACAACGTTTTCGGGCGCACGGATCAACCGATTTGAATGGTTTAAAAAACATTCGATCCCTATTGACAGGGAGATGTGCTGATTAGTTTTTGGCAAAAGCAGGTCCTGCCGTTACGGAGATACGGAGCAAAGAGTGCAGAAAATAGAAATCGAGTTTTTGAGAGAACGGATCATCCGATTTGTATGATCCAAAAACATTCAGTTTGTAATGACGCGGAAAAGTGGTTATTAGTTTTTAGCAAAGGTAGCCCCAGCGGTTTCGGAGATACAGAGCTAAATGTTAAAAAAATGGCAGTCTAAGCCACTCTGGTACAAATGTTTATCAAAGTGCGTTTAGACTGGAGCACTTTTCCAATTTTGTGTAAATGAGGCAACTATTTTTTTGAAATTGAGTTCGAAATGAAATGACGATTGTTAATGTTCTGGAGATAAATTGATTGATTTATGATTTACATTTGATTTGCTCAGATATAAAAAGATAGCAAATATAATGAAAGTTACAGTATTTTTAATAATGTAAGTATTTGAAAACGTTTAAAATTTCTCGAATATTTTATTACGGTACGGGAAGTTCCAGCAATTTGCCTTAAGGCACGATGCCATACACCACTAGTTTTATTTTAACTTTTTTCATTTTATATTCAATTTATTGTATTTTTTGTATTTTTTCTTTTTTTGCACATATCAATTTTGTAAATAAGACATTAAAGTCTTGATTAACAAAAAAAAACTAATTTTTAGTGGCTTGGCCGATCTTTTATCAAACCTTTCTTATCGAATTTATTCCAGTGGGTTTTAAATTTGCAAAATTCAAATTTTGACTTATCACAAAAGCAGAAGCTAGATAAAATTTACTATAATTCTATGCCAACAGTTGCACATGATCCGATACAAATGTTTTGAATAAAACGACTTTGAAATCCATTTTTCATTTTTTAGCTGCAAATAGAAAATTCTGGACATTTTTTTGATTTTTGTCAAATAGCTCACAAATGTTATATGGGGGCACACTTTTTTTTGTTAGATGGGGTGAAACTAGATAAAATTTGCTACATTTCCTTGGGAACACCTTTATACTACGAAATAAAAGTTTAGAATAAAACGAATTTGAATTTGATATTTCATTCTTTAGCAATGTGAATAGAAAATTCGGGACATTTTTTTGGTTTTTGTCAAATAACTCAAAAATATTATATGGAACCACCACTTTTCAGTTTGAAACTAGATAAAATTCACTACAATTCCATGCCAAATAATCATATTATTGTCAAACTTTGATGAATTTTTAAAATTAAACTACTTGTAGGGTCGCTAGAATATTTCAGTATGTTCTATAAGACCATGGTATCTATAGTGAAATTAAGTTTCATAAAAATCGGCAAAAAAATTTTCAACAGAAAACGGCTCGATCGATCTTTACCATAAACTAATCTGTATCATTCCCAACAAATATCTTTTGAATTGTTTTTATTCAAAATTTGCATGCATATATATATATATATATATATATATATATTTGAAATCTATTATCTTAAATAAAAATCTGACACTGCTTGATATCAAGCTGGAATCGAATCCACAACCAGTGGTTGCGGAAAATATAAAATGATATTATGTAATAATTGCTTTGATTATCAATGAATGAATGCATATTATTTAATGCTTACTGTATATTTCGTACTATTTATACATTCTATTATATGTAAGGTTTATAACATGTTTACAAATATTTAAATTCAATTTAACAATATGTTTAGATTCATTGTTTTTCTTCACTCTTCCGACTATGACGTGTCATGTGTCTCTTCAAATCGATTAATTGTTTAAATGCTTTATTGCATATTTCACATTTGAAAGGAAGCTCTCCTGTATGAATCCGCATGTGATTTTTCAGATGACTTGATTGTCTGAATGTCTTGTTGCAAATAGTGCATTCGTGGGGGCGCTCATCACTGTGAATGAGCATGTGTTTTTTCAGATTATTTGATTGTGTGAATCCCTTATCGCATATATTGCATTTGTGGGGGCGCACATCACTGTGAATGAGCATGTGTTGTTTCAGATTATTTGATTTTGAGAATGTCTTATTGCATATATTGCATGCATGGGGACGTATCTCTTCGTGTACCAGCATGTGATTCTTCATGTTTCTTAATTGCGTGAATGTCCTATTGCATATGTTGCATTCAAAGGGGCGCTCCCCTTTGTGTAGCAGCATGTGTTTTTTCAGATTACCCGATTCTGTAAAGGTCTTCTTGCATATATTACACTGATGTGGACGCTCACCACTGTGAACGACCATGTGATTATTCAGATTGTATGAAAGTGTAAATGCCTTATTACAAATATCGCATTTGTGGGGGCGCTCACCACTGTGAAAGCTCATGTGTCTGTTCAAATTAGTTAAATGTCTGAACGTCTTATTGCATACATTGCATTCATGAGGACGCCCTTCATTGTGTATCAGCATATGACTTCTCAGAGCACGTGATTGTTTGAAAGTCTTATTGCACATTACACACTTATGAGGTTGCTCACTGTTATGAATCACCATGTGTTTCTTCAGATAATTTGAGCTTGCAAATGTCTTATTGCATATACTGCATTCATAGGGTCGCTCATCACTGTGACTAACCATGTGATGTCTCAGACTAGATGATTGTGTAAATGTCATCTTGCATATACTGCACCCATGGGGACGTACTCCTTTGTGTATCAGCATGTGCACATTCATATTACTTGAATTTCTGAATGTCTTATGGCATATATTGCACTTATGGGGACGCTCACCACTATGAATGAGGATGTGAATTCTCAGACTAGATTTTAGTGTGAACGTCTTCTTGCATATACTGCACTCATAGGGACGCTCACCACTATGAATGAACATATGAGTTTTCAGATTACTTAATTGTATGAATGACTTATTGCATTCATTGCATTTATGCGGACGCTCACCCGTGTGAATGGCAATGTGAGTTTTCAAAACACTTGATTGTTTGAAAGTCTTTTGACAGATTTCACATTCGTAAGGGCGTTCTTTGCTATGACTAGGCTTGTGATCGACCATGTGTTTTGTTAGATTATGGGAATCTGCGAATGATTGATTACAAATGTCACAATCAAAAGACTCCTGTTTGACTTCATCTTCAATTGTCACCTCGGAGTTCATGAATCTTTCTAAACATGCATCATTATCCTTAGAACACGATTCAGATTTAACAATAGCATCAAGATCATGAAATTCATCATCATTTTCGCCTTCAATGTCTTCTGCTGAATATTCTGTTGGTTCAATTTTAATTGCCTGATTATTCATGGACGTAATTGCTTCGTCTGACATTTTTAAATGTTTTTAATGCCTATTCTCACTAAATATTTACAAAATTATTCTTACGAAATAATAATCTAATTTAATCAACAATGCTTTAAATGATTTCAACTAAAATTTAATTCATTATTTGACATCTAAAGCATAGAGTAATGCTTTGAAAAAGATGAGACATTTACCAAAGCGCGTTGATATTTAGCAAGTGGCGCCTTTTTTCAAATGCATTATCGTTCTCTATGTTTGAGCTGGCAACAAACGTCTTTATTATTATTAAAAAATAATTATTACCTAGACAATAAATTAATAATAAATGATTTAGAAGAGAATTTATTAATTCCATGTCTTACATAAGAAATCAGCTTTGTTTGTTTATTTCTAATCAAGATCATGTTCAAAAGCTGAAGATGGAACGTACATAGATCCGAAACGTCGACAACAAATAATTTTTTGAAAAACTTTTGGATTTTTTTCTTACTATTCGATTCCTTGTTTGAAACTCAGCACATATACTCGTATACAGGTCAAAGAGTTAGGACATTTTTATTAGAATAAATTTAAAATTGGTTCAGTAGTTTAGGATCACATTTTGACTACTTGTTGTAAGGCCGTAATATTACGGTAAGTTCTATAAGAATTGTTCCATAAAATTTGGCTTAAATTTTTTTTCAACAGTTAATTACAAGAAAATGGCTCGGTAGATTTTCACCTAAAACTAATCAGTATCATTCCCAACTAATATCTTTCAAACAATTTTTGATTTTTTAAAATCGATTTGGTAGAATGAGCTTAAATGTGGAAGAAAAGTTTAACAGTTTTTTTCCAAATTACAAAGAAACGGCTCGGCCGATCGCTACACGAAACTGAGAAAAGATAATCTACATCAAAATACATTGATTGGCTTTTAAATTTTTGAAATTAGTTCAGGCGTTTTGGAGCAAACGTTAAGTCTTGATTAGCAAAAATGAATTATAAAAAAAATGTATGACAACATTTATTCTCACTTTATTAAAATTTTTTTTATTTGAATTTTAATTTAAATTTTATACATCTCAAACAGACGGAAAGTACCTGGTATGAGAGATTGTACAAAATATCTATACGATAGTATATATTTATTCAGTTGCTTAATAATAAATTATTTGATTAATTTTTTTTTCCAGTTCGGAAGTGAGAATGCGCCAACATGCTGCCAAAGCTAATAATAAGCCCCAAAACAACGGCAGTTCGGCTACTCCTGCAAAAAGTGGACCACAAATTGCAAGGTAATAAAAAAATTATAAATAAATAAATAATATAAAATTATAAATTCGATCGACACCTCCAATAATCCGACACCCTCAGCAAACTAAACATTGTTTTGGAAATAATAAACAATATCCTTTGACTTTTTACTATAATTCCACTCGGATTCCGCCACTTCGGCGACAAAAATCTCACAATTCACGAGTGGAAAGAGTTTATAATGCCGGATTAGAGAGATTTTTCTAATCATAACTTACTTAGATCAAGATTGTGACCACCATTCTTCAAAGGAAAAATAGAAGGTCTAAAAGGACTAGTAAGAAGAAAATTTAAAATATGTATTAGAAAACGTTTTAAAAATTTCACTGGATAAACACTTTTTTATCAGAATTGAACTAATTGTTTAGGAGGAGTTCAATACAAATATGTAGAGAAGATCAATTAGAATCGATTTTACTGATGTATATAATGACATCAAACTTCTCTACATAAGTTTCATATTGAACTCCTCTTAAACAGCTGGTCCAAATCTGATAAAAAAATTGTGTTCATCTAATGGAAATCGCCAAGCATTTGTAATTTTCTTTCAACTAGTTCTTTCAAATCTTCTTTTTTTTCTTTAAAGAAGGGTCACAAAATTGGTCTCATGGTTTTATTTTCATGACCATGCCTAATTTGAACATATTTTTTTCTATTCTTTTTGAAGCACTCTTGATGTTGACGTCTTATTAACATATATTTATCTTCTTAAAAACCATCCTCCTTTTCTCAATCTTCCTTTAAATCCATGTCTCTGATTTCTAAAGAACTATGTTCCAAAGGTAGTATTTTTCAAATGACAAAATTATATATCCTTAATTATAATTAATTTTAATTAAAGGACCCCAGAAAGCAGTGGAGCCCGTATGAAACGCAACGAGTGGCGAATCACGAAAATGGTTTTGGCGATATTTTTGTCTTTTTGTGGTTGCTATCTGCCTATAACTATTGCCAAAGTTGCAGATCCAGAAGTCAAATATCCAGGTAAAGGGAAAATGATAATTTAAGTAATAAATAATACAGTATTTCAAAATAGAAAACTCTCAAGTTGATGCCTCCAAAACGACTAAAACATACATAGGATACTAGTGGTGTATGGCATCGTGCCTTAAGGCACACTGCTCGAACTTCCCGTACCGTAAGGAAATATTCGAGAATTTTTAAATGTTTTCAATTATATTATTACAAATACTGTAACTTTCATTATTTTTGCTATCTCATTGTTATATCTGAGCAAATCAAATGTATATCATAAATCAATTTATCTCCAGAACATTAACAATTGTCATTTCATTTCGAATTCAATTTCAAAAAATAGTTGCCTAATTTACACAAAATTGAAAAAGTGCTACCGTATAGTCACAGTCTAAACGCATTTGCAAATAATTCTGTGCGACATTTTCACTTATACTGTGCTTAGCTTGGCTATTTTCTCATATCTTTCAATAGTTTTACACAAAATTGGAAAAGCGCTAAACAGTCTGAACGCACTTGGGTACACATTTCTACCAGGGCGGCGCTTAGACTGTGCTTAGCTTGGGTAATTTTTTGAATTTTTAATCCAAAATTACAAAAATATTTTATGGAAAATAAAAAAAGATGTAATAATTTTTACCCTCAAAAGCAATATTGTTTTGTCAATACAAGCAGAAAGTTTTTTAGATCATTCAAATCGGACGCTTATTACTTCACTCAAAACTGCCGTTTTTTGCACATTTAGCTCTATATCTTCTAAATGGCGGGACCTGTCTTTGCCAAAAAATTAATCTCCTCTTCTCCCAATCATTACAAATTGAATGTTTTTTAGATCATTCAAATCCGATATTCCGTTCTCTCAAAAACTCGATTTGTATTTTCTGCACTCTTTGCTCTGTATCTTCGTAACGGCTAGACCTGCCTTTGCCAAAAACTAATAAGCACATCTCCCTATCAGTAGGAATCGAATGTTTTTTAAACCATTCAAATCGGTTGAACCATGCGCCCGAAAACGTGGACGAAAAAATGCGGACATACAAAACACATACACAAACACATCCATTTTTTCTGAGGTATGTCAAAATGTTCAGAAACCTTCAAAACGTCGAGAAATGCAAAAATTTTCATTTTCGATTTTTTGGCGCATTACTAACTACCCTACGGGAAGTTAAAAATATCCATCAAACATCTGAAAATGATTCACCTTAGTTCATAGCATATTTAAATATTTGTTCAATATTGTACTAATGCATCTATTAATAATTTTTATTTTTTCAGGGCTCCACATAATGGGCTACATTCTACTATACCTATCAGCCTGTATTAATCCAATTATTTATGTGATAATGAACAAACAATATCGCCAGGCCTACAAAACAGTATTACTTTGCGAAAGGCCGCGAATATTAAACTTCACAGCAGGAGGAAACAGCAGTGCTCAAGGTAATTATTGAATCTTATTTAAAACTAATTAATAATGACGAGAAATGTAGTAGAACCCGCTTAAGACGATTCGTAAGGGAATAGTATAGTCAGTCTCTATGTACTTAAATATCATCACAAGTTGATAATGGAAATATAGATTTATCAGGCATCAATTTAAAAACTAAAGCGTTAAAAATTTATTCACTAATCAAGTTATATATAAAGAACATTTTTTAAATTTTTGAAAATTTTCCTGTGCTATTTCCATACAAAACTTTGATTGAATTGCGCACTTTCTAAAAGACAATATTAAGAGCTAAAACTTAGAGAATTTTATTTTATCACTTTGGAAACATTTGAGCTTCTGGGAGCAAGGAAATTCGAAAATGTCCATATTAAGGACCACCCTAATTTATATATATATATATATATATATATATATATATATATCTTAGTTTTTTCGACGTTGAAACATATTTCAAATTAACTAGCAGCCCATTCGTCGAAATAAAAAATGTAAAAAAGTATTTAAAACCTTTTATTTATACGTTTCGACACCAGATGCGTGTCATCATTCAGCAACTACAATAAATTTGAAACAATATATACTAATAATAACAAAACAAATATAAAATTATTATAAATATAGAGAAACATTTTACATACCACCAGGACAAAGACAATAAAAAAAAAAAAAAATAAAATAAAAATTTAAATTGTAATAATATTAGAGGACATTTTTTGGAAAAATAATGATAAATAACCACAAAATTAAAACCATTTGAAAGAAGTTTTAAACTGTAACACATTATGACGCATGAAACACGCACATATCAAGCTTTTTTTTGAGTGTCTTTGTCCTGGTGGCATGTATAATGTTTCTCTATATTTATAATAATTTTATATTTGTTTTGTTATTATTAGTATATATTGTTTCAAATTTATTGTAGTTGCTGAATGATGACATGCATCTGGTGTCGAAACATATAAATAAAAGGTTAATAACTTTTTTACATTTTTTAATTTTGATGAATGAGCTGCTAGTTACTTTGAAATATATATATATATATATATATATATATATATATATATATATATTGAATACATAACACAGTTATGTACATTAATAGAATATACATTGACTTTATAATACAGTTAAATAATTTCCAATAGTTTTTAATAAGTATTATAAAAAAAATGAATATATATTGTTTCTATGCAATTGAACCCTTTGCTCAAAGATAAGGAAAGCTACAAATGTTTTCTGTTATAGAAAGTTCTTATTACAAAATTATTTGTTACATTACAAGCATTATATAATACCTAATTTGATTTGTGATACCATTTGTGTATCATTAAACATAACAATATAAAACAATAACATTTGTATTACTATTTCATTGATTTTCATCACTCTTCCCACTATGAAGTGCCATGTGTTTCCCCAAATTGTCCGATTGAGTAAATTCCTCATCGCATATATCACATTTATAAAGACGCTCTCTATTATGAATCAGCATGTGATCTTTTAGATGACTTGATCTTGTGAATGTCTTATTACATTTATTACATTCATACGGGCGTACTCCACTGTGCATCAACATGTGACTTTTCATATTGCTTGAATGTTTGAATGTCTTGTTACAAATACTGCATTCGTGGGGACGCTCATCACTGTGAATGAGCATGTGACTTTTCAGATTACTTAATTGTATGAATGTTTTATCGCATAAACTGCACTCAAAGGGGCGTTCATCACTGTGGAGGAGCATGTGATTTTTTAAATGACCGGATTGTGTGAATGTCTTATTGCATATATTGCATTCATACTGAGGCCGTACTTCTTTGTGAATCACCATGTGTCTTTGGAGACTACGTAGTTTAGTGTATGTCTTATTACAAATTGTGCATTCATGAGTGCTTGCGCCATTATGTATTAGCATGTGTTTTTTTAAATTAATTGGTCGTGTAAATGTCCTATTACAAACATTGCATTCATGGGTGCGTAGTCCAGTATGTATCAGCATGTGTTTTTTCATATTGCTTAAATGTCCGAATGTCTTGTTACAGATACTGCATTCGTGGGAGCGCTCACCACTGTGAACTTTCATGTGACTTTTCAGATTACTTGATTGTATGAATGTCTTATTGCATAAACTGCACTCAAAGGGGCGTTCATCACTGTGAATGAGCATGTGACTTTTCAAATGACCAGATTGTGTGAATGTCTTATTGCATATATTGCATTCATGAGACCGTACTTCTTCATGAATCAACTTGTGTCTTTGGAGACTACCTAGTTTTGTGAATGTCTTATTACAAATTGTGCATTCATAGGTGCTCGTCGCCCCATTATGTATCAGCATGTGAGTCTTTAGATTACTTAATTGTGTGAATGTCTTATTACAAATATTGCATTCATGCAAGCGTAATCCACTGTGTATCAGCATGTGCTTTTTCATATTGCTTAAATGTCTGAATGTCTTGTTACAAATACTGCATTCGTGGGGACGCTCATTACTGTGAATGAGCATGTGACTGGTCAGAGTACCTAATTCTGTGAATGTCTTATTGCATTCTTTGCATTCATGAGGGCGCTCACCACTGTGAGTGAGCATGTGATTTTTGAGACTACTTGAATGTGTGAATGTCTTCTTGCATATGCTGCATTCATGGGGACGTATCCCTTTGTGTGTAAGCATGTGTACTTTCATATTACTTGAACTTCTGAATGTCTTTTTGCATACATTGCATTCATGGGGGCGTACCCCTTTGTGTATCAGCATGTGACTTTTTAGATTACTTAAATGTCTGAATGTCTTATTACATTCCTGGCATACATGTGACGTGTGAGGCTTATCATTGTGAATGTGCATGTGATTTTTCAAAAAAACTGATTGTTTGAAAGTCGTTTGACAGATTTCACATTTGTAAGAGTGTTCTTCACTATGACTAGGTTTGTGATCGTCCATATGCTCTTTCAATTGATGCGATTCTGCAAATGATTGATTACAAATGTCACAATCAAAAGACTCCTGTTTGACTTCTTCAATTGACACCTCGGATTTCATTAAATTTCCTAAACTCGTTTCATCATCCTCAGAATACGATTCTGATTTAACAGTAACATCAAGGGCATCTAATTCATCTTCAATTTCGAGTTTAATGTCCTCTGTTGAATATTCTGGTGGTTCAATTTTAATAATTGCCTGATCATTCATAGACTTAAATGTTTCTTCTGACATTTTGGAATATTTTCACTGCTTGCATTCACTAAATATTTAAAAACTATTCGTATTTTAATTAATAATCTACTTTAATCAACAAGCTTTTACAAAATGATTCATTTCAACTAAAATTTAATCTTTGACGTTTGAAGCATAGAGTATGTTTATAGAAAGATGAGACATTTATCAAATCAAATCTTTGATATTTAACAAGTAGCACGTCTTTTCTTTTCAACACTCTATGCTCGAACTGTCAAATAATGTCGAAACGTTTGGAATTAAAAATTAATTTATAAATCTTTGCTTTTTATTCTTCGATGCATCGCCCTACAAGAACTTACTCATATATCTCAACATCAAAAATAACTACTAAATATATATATATATATATATATATATATATATATATATATATGTGTGTGTGTGTGTGTGTATATAATTACTATGCCAGAAATCTATTCACAAAAGTTATAAGAATCATGAATATAAGTATGAAGTCAAATGAAACATCTGAGTGCCATAATGGAAATCTTTGTGAAAAATTTGCACTAAGTATATCAATATTGCTTGATATCAAGCCGTTGGAGGTGGATATCGAATCTAAAACCAGTGGTTTAATCTACTTAACTAATAAAAATTAAAATATGAAAAAAATTATAAACTAATAAATAACAAATGCTTTGTTTATCAAGAAATACATATTTAATTTTTACTGTATATTTTATACTATTTATACATTCCATTACAATCAAGAATATTTTATAACACGTTTCCAAATATTAAAATTCAACAGATATGTTTAGATTTCATTGATTTTCATCACTCTTCCGACTATGAAGTGCCATGTGTTTATTTAAATTGCCTGATTGATTAAATTCCTTATTGCATATTTCATATTCATAAGGATGCTCTCTGTTATGGATCAGCATATGTTTTTTTAGACTACTTAATTCTGTGAATGTCTTCTTGCATACATTGCACTTATGTGGACGTTCACCGCTATGAATGACCATGTGACTTTTCAGATTGCTTAATCGTAGGAAAGTCTTATTGCATTCATTGCACTTATGGGGGCGCTCACCGCTGTGAATGAGCATGTGAGATTTCAGAGTACTTGAATGTGTGAATGTCTTCTTGCATATACTGCATTCATAAGGACGCTCACCACTGTGAACAGGCATGTGACTTTTCAAATGTGATGCTTGTGTAAACGACTTCTTGCACACACTGCACTCATGGGGCTGCAATCCTTTGTGAATCAGCACGTGCATTTTCAAACTACTTAATTGTGTAAATCTCTTATTGCATATATGGCATTCATAGGGGCGCTCACCACTGTGAACGAGCATGTGAGATTTCAGAGTACTTGAATGTGTGAATGTCTTCTTGCATATACTGCATTCATATGGACGCTCACCACTGTGAATGAGCATGTGAGATTTCAAACTAGTTATAGTAATGAACGCCTTATTGCATTCATTGCATTTATGTGGACGTGTACCACTGTGAATGAGCATGTGTCTTGTCAGAGCCCCCATTAGTGTGAATGTCTTCTTGCATATACTGCACTCATGAGAGCGCTTACCACTGTGAATGAGCATGTGAGATTTCAGATTAGTTGAATGTGTGAATGTCTTCTTGCATATACTGCATTCATAGGGACGCTCACCACTGTGAACGAGCATGTGAGTTTTCAGAATACTTGAATATGTGAACGTCTTTTTGCATATAATGCACTTATTGGGACACTTATCACTGTGAATGAGCATGTGTCTTTTCAGAGTCCTCAATTGTATGAATGTCTTTTTGCATATACTGCACTCATGAGAGCGCTTATCACTGTGAATGAGCAAGTGTGCTTTCAACACTTTTGATTGTTTGAAAGTCTTTTCACAGTTTTCACATTTAAAAGGACGTACTTCTCTATGGTTAGGCATGTGATCGATCATATGCTTTGTTAGATGATGTGATTCTGCAAATGATTGATTACAAATATTACAATCAAAAGACTCCTGTTTGACTTCATCTTCAATTGTCACCTCGGAATTCATGAATCTTTCTAAACACGTATCATCATCCTCAGTAAACGATTCAGATTTAACAGTAACATCAAAAGCGTCAAATTCATCTTCAATTTCGCATTTAATGTCTTCCGGTGAATATTCTGGTGGTTCAATTTTGATAATTGCCTGATCATTCTCTGACATAAATGTTTCGTCTGACATTTTGGAATATTTTCACTGCTTGCACTTACTAAATATTTAAAAACTATTCGTATTTTAATTAATAATCTACTTTAATCAACAAGCTTTTACAAAATGATTCATTTCAACTAAAATTTAATCTTTGACGTTTGAAGCATAGAGTATGTTTATAGAAAGATGAGACATTTGTCAAAACGAATCTTTGATATTTAAAAGTGGCGCGTCTTTTCTTTTCAACACTCTATGCTCGAACTGTCAAATAATCAATATAATTTTACTTGATATCATTTGTCATATTTTAAAAGATTGTTTATTAAAGTAGATTATTATTTAAAATACGAATAGTTTTTGAATATTTAGTGAGTATAAGCAGTGATAATATTAAAAAATGTCAGAAAAAACAATTACGTCTATGGATCAGGAAATTAAAATTGAGCCACCAGAATATTATCCAGTAGAAGACATTAAATGCGAAAATGGGGAGAATTTTGATGTTCTTGATCCTCCTGTCAAATTTGAATCGTGTTCTAAAGATGATAAAACGTGTTTAGAAGGGTTTATGAATTCTGAAGTGACAATAGAAGAAGTCAAACAGGAGTCTTATGAATGTGACACACAATCACATCATTTAAAAGAGCATTATATGGTTGATCATATGCCTGGTTATAGTAAAGAACGCCCCTTCAAATGCGAAACCTGTCATAAGTCTTTCAAACTATTGCTTACTTTGAAAAATCACAAGCTCATTCACACTGGTGAGCGTCCCCATAAATGCAGTATATGCAATAAAGCATTCAGAAGTTCAAGTAATATGAAAGTACACATGCTGATACACAAAGGTATACGCCCCCATGAATGCAGCATATGCAAGAAGACATTCACACATGCAAGTAGTCTGAAAAATCACATTCTCACTCATAATAGTAAGCGTCCCTATGAATGCAATGTATGCGATAAGTCATTCACACAATCAGTTAGTCTGAAAAATCACATGCTCATTCACAGTGGTAAGCGCCCCCATGAATGCACTATATGCAATAAAGCATTCGTACAATTAAGTAATCTGAAAAGTCACATGCTAATTCACAGTGATGAGCGTCCCCACGAATGCACTATTTGTAATAAGACATTCAGACAATCCAGTAATCTGAAAAACCACATGCTGCTACACAAAGGGGCACGCTCCTATGAATGTAAGATATGCCATAAGACATTCAAACCATTAAGTCATCTGAAAAGTCATATGCTGATACACAGTGGAGTACATCCCCATGAATGTAGTGTATGCAATGAGACATTCACGCAATCAAGTGATCTGAAAAAGCACATGCGTATCCACAATGGTTTGCGTCCATATCGATGCAAAATATGCAATAAAACATTCACACAATCAAGTAGTGTAAAAAATCACATGCTCATTCACAGTGGTGAGCGCCCCTTTGAATGCAGTTTATGTGATAAGACATTTATACAATTAAGTAATCTGAAGACTCATATGTTTATTCATAGTGGTGAGCGACTGCATAAATGCACTATATGTGATAAGTCATTCATACAATTAAATAGTCTGCAAATTCACATGGTCATTCATAGTGGTGAGCGCCCTTATGAATGCAGTATTTGTAATAAGACATTTACACATTCGAGTAATCTGAACAAACACATGCTGCTTCATAACAGAGATGATCCTTATAAATGTGAAATATGCAATGAGGAATTTACTCAATCGGACGATTTGGGGAAACACATGGCACTTCATAGTGGGAAGAGTGATGAAAATCAATGAAATAGTAATCCAAATATTATTGTTTCAAAATAATAGAATAGAATAATCAAATCAGGTATTACTTATTTATTGTAAAATTTCTGATACGAGCTTTTTATAATAGAACATGATCAGAAAGCATTTGCAGTTTTCCTTATATATGAGCAAAGGGTCTGATTAAATAGAAGTAAGACATACTAAAAATTATTTAGAACAGTAAATAATTTCAGTCAATTATTGTTTTCAATTATCCGAAATCATAAGTTAATTTTTTTGTTTGAGTTAAAGAATTTCAGCAAATTATTGTTTTAGAAAAACTTGGATCCGATTTTTTGTGAAAATTGCTATTTAAATAAAAACCAGTTTTCTCGTGGTTTCAAATTGCAGAGACTGGTATAAAGTGGTAAATTTACATAAGAAATTCCATCCAGCGTGATAGTCTTTAAACAGGTTCTGCTGTATAATTTTGATTGGTTAAAATTGGTTATAGTTTATTTCATATTAGTATTGTAGTTAAATATGGTTGCTACAGTGTTTGCGCTTGGTTTTAGAGAAATCGAAGGAGCGACTCGCCTGCAGCTACAACCACAGTCGAACGTTCCTCTCAATAGTCTCCATTGCGGATCCGCCAACAGGTAGAGATTATAAACAATTTATTTATTTATTCATTTGTAATTGATCATTTAATCCTGTGGTTTCCAACCTGTGGGTCGCGACCCCTCCGTTGCAAAGCTGCTTCCAACCAAAAACTTTGAAATGGTGTGAAAAACCGAATGAATAAACATTTTTATGCATGCGTTTTTTAAGGTCGTTCTTAATATGGATGCGTTTGAATTGCCTTGCTCCCAGGGGCTCAAATGCTTCGAAATTGATGAAAAACAAGAGTGCGCGTAAGGTTCAAACGCGATTGAAGTAAAACTTATTTGCTACTGTACAAGATGGCATTTAAGTAAAAATAAATACATCATATAACAATTTTGAATAAAGTTTCTTATTATTATGAAGATTATGAGCATCTCTAAATTGTCAATAAAATACTAAATCATAAATTATATATCATTATATCATTTGAGATGATAAATTTTAATTTTTACGCTATTTAAATCTCATTATCCCTTTGTTATTTTGCGAAAATTTATATTTATTTATATACATACTTATATTATTAATTTAATATAAATAAGCAATAAAAGTTTGTATATAAATAAATATAAAATGTCTTACATATCTGTTACTTACTTGATTAAAATTATCATCTAAAATAAGCGAATTTTTTACTTACATACATTTCATCAAAGGTTTATGAATAAATGCTTGTCGATTTTGTGTTATTTTTTCTGCTTATTATATGACAAAAAGAAAACCATGTCAATTTTTTTACAAATTCCTAGTTTTTAATGAGATGTCAATATAAATCTAAATTTCGAATTAAGTTATTTAAAAATGATGAATGGTTTAAGATTTGATGTGATTCTCGTATAATAAAAATCATTGAAGTTTACTATAAAAGCAGTAAACTTTTAGCAATGAATTGCTTGAAAAATTAATGTAACCTATTACAAAATTGTAAAAAGTCAATATTTCTATCAAATTGAAATTACTAAATTTCTTAAGAACTAGAGCCCCTTACAAACGAATGCATTGTGAGCCTCTGAGAACAAAGAAATTCGAAAATATCCATATAAAGGACCACCCTAATGTTTATATAATATTTTATATTGTCTAATTATATCAGTTGACTATTTATTAAATTAGATCCTTAAAAAAAAAATTAAGGGGCGGCGAAGCATTATTTTTTTCATAATCCGGGTCTTGCGGTACGAAAAGGTTGGAAACCACTGATTTAATCAGTTAACTGTGATTGATGAAAGACTCGTCATGAGGAAATGGCATAATTTTGTATATTGACGAGTATATTCGTCATGGTTATAAAAGTCTAATTTTTGGCTATTTAAATTGCAATTTTTGGAAAAAGAAAAAAATCAAGTACTTATCGAACTTTTTGTTTAAATAGTTGTAAGTGAAATTTTACCTTACAACAATATTTTACCTTGACAGTTTAATGAGCACGTCACAGTTAACTGGTTAATATTTATTTATATATAATTTATTATGCATGCACTTATGCTTATTTATTTATATATAATTTATTATGCATGCGCTTATGCTTATTCATTTATTCATTTAGTAAATAAGAATGCTTTTATGGTTATGCTTTTTTCCAAAAAATCCTAAAAATTGATCACGTGATAAATGTACACCTCTTAGGACATGCACGTATATAAATATATATATATATATATATATATATATATATATATATATCCAACGCGTGTTCGATTTTTTCACTATAACTACTTATATGACAAATAATACTTATGCTTACAATTTGTAAATTTGTACGAAATATGAATAATGATTATTATAATTTCTAACATATAATACTCTACAACAACTTGGTGTACTTATATGTTAATTGTTTATTGATTAAGTTGATTAATTGCTTATAACGGAGAAGATCATGCAACTCGCCTTAAGGCAAAACGGTTTAGTTTATATTATTCACTAGCGATAGGTTTAATAATTGTGTGTATAAATAAACTACTTGCTACAGTTAAATTATATTCATCTAAAACGTTCTATTAAATTTGATTGAACATAATCTGTTCAAACCATTTGATATTTGACGTATGAGCCGCCCTTCACTACTTCATTGTAAATTAGGTTTACACAAAAAAAAATTGAATTGAAAATGTAAAGTTTCTACGCAGTTTTGAAGCAATTTCTCTTTTTTCTCACAACCTCTGGATTAGCACAAATATCTCAAGACTAAAACTGGTCAAATCCGTTCAGCCATTTCAAGCTCCATTTTTATATATAAGAAGATTTAGTCATTTAAATAAATTTACTTTAGTTTTTTAAAAAGGAAAGGTTTGGAATTGGGGGGTAAACTTAGAACAAATACGTTCAGGATCAGTAAAATGAAATTGTAAGCTGAACGAGAGCAGTTGTTTCACTTGTCATGTAATTAAAACTAACATACATTCATTGACTGTTTTTTTTTTTACTATTTCGCTGGCGATACAGTCTCATTCTTTGAGCAGCTGTAGTTTGTGTCGTGCCTATAAAAATAATTTCTAAAATTATGTAGTAACCACGAATAATACAACATATTTCATTCGTTTTTTACAGGGCACAGTTTTTACATTTGTTTTATTTTTTCCACTATACAATCTCACGCGACGCGACGACCAATCACAATCGACCCATATAGAGATGATATCGTCGAGAGCGAATGACGAATCATTGGCACTCTTCCGTTGCATTTTCACAGATTTACTCTCTAGTCGCGCCTAAAGAAGTTAAACTTCAAATATCATTAGTATCATTAGTAGATATTATCGCTTTATATTTTTGCTTTACATTATTCCTTTATATTATTGCTTTACATTATCGTTTCAAAATCTGCATATACATTTTGCTTTGCGCTTTTTGCTCAAAAAAAAATATTCAAAAATTTTATATTTCTTTTTTTTCTATCCAGGAGTATCTACGGTACAACCAGATCAAACGTGTACTAACCAGACAACAAAAGACAAAAACGTGACTTGATATTATTATTTAAGAGATCCTATATTTTTATACACAATTTTAGAATTAGGAAAAGTTATTAGTTAGATAAATAATTTAATTTATTTATTGTCTTGTACCAAATATTAATTTATACTAAGTCATTAGTTGGATAAGATTTCATGAATGAATTGTTGATGTGTATGAGTTGTTAGTGGGGAATGCAATACCGATAAAAAAAGAGAAAAAAATATAATCAAAATTGGAAGCTACTTATAAATGAAAAATTAAAATTAAAAATCTAGAGATGAAAAATACAACTTGTACAAATATACACACAACTACTGAGCAATAAAACGTGTGTTTTCAAAACCAAATGAACAAAATTGTCTTCAACTTAATATCATATGATAATAAGAATATATATATATATATATATATATATATATATATATATATATATATATATACATATATCCAGTTTGTGTTGTGATAATATTTTGACACTTGTTTATACAATAGAACGACTTAAAGAGACATCTGTTTCATTATCTGTTTCGTTATTGCATTCCCTAGTTGAGAGAATGATTTATCGATTTATTTTGTATATAGAAATCACCTTAGTCTTCCATCACATAATTTAGAAAAAAAATAGTAAAAAAGATATTTAATTCCATATTAGGATAAAAGTCGCATTTAAATTAAATAATTTAATGTATAAATAGTTGTAAGATTCATAAAGACATTATATTGATAGACTTATGTTTAAGTTAAATTAGATCTAACTAGATTTCACTGGTCAACTTTTATTGTCACATGAAAAGGGGTCACTTTTCTTCGGCACCAAAATTGGAGACACCTTTTTTTGGGTGTCTCCAATTTTTTAAAAATAGTAATATGATTGAAATTTGATGGAGATGACAGTAGTATATACTCGAGAGAAGTCTATAAAGAAGATTCTCTGAATATTTAAACTTGAAAGAAAAGGACCAATTTTCTTACCTTTTTTTTTTGAGTTTCTCCAATTTTTAAAAAATAGTAATATGATTGAAATTTGAGGATGAGGCTAGTATATACTCTACAGAAGTCGATAAAGAAATTTTTCTGAAAGTTTTAACTATGCGTAGAAATTTGAAAAAAGTACCACTTTCCATACCTTTTTTTTAAATTTATCGTTTATCGTTTATCAAATAATTTTTATCAATGATACTATAAAATCAAATGTCATATAAAAAAATTATTTCTACATAGCATTAGTTATTTATAATATTTTTATTATAAGTGTTGCTTAGTTAAGTATTTATTGATAAGCATTAAAAATAAAACTTGAGAACATTTCGATCACATTGTTTACTTTTTCATTAACATTCAATTTTTCAGAATAATATAATATGATGAGTACACAAACTATATACAATCGTTTGAATATAAATATATAGATTTATTTATATATCCAATTCCCATACAAACTAAGGCGGTTAGGCCATATATAATCATGTATATATCAATATATACATTTATATATCCAATTCACATACAAACTAAGGCGGTTAGGCCATATATAATCATGTATAAATCAATATATACATTTATATATCCAATTCCCATACAAACTAAGGCAGCTAGGCTATATATAATCATGTATAACTCGATATATACATTTATATATCCAATTCCCATACAAACTAAGGCAGTTAGGCCATATATAATTATGTATAAAACAATATATACATTTATATACCCAATTCACATACAAACTAAGGCAGTCAGGCCGTATATAATCATGTATAAATGGATATATACATTTATATATCCAGTTCCCATACAAACTAAGGCAATTAGGCCATATATAATCATGTATAAATTGATATATACATTTATATATCCAACTCCCATACAATAAGCTCAAATAAATGTGTCCACTTGTTCTAAATAATTTTAAGTAAATAAATGCCACTAAAAGTTATGATTTTGTTAACTTCTATTTTGCTTATTAGGACTGAAAAGATATTGAAATGATTCTTTGGAAAGAAAAACTACGGATGAAGTCACTAAATGAGATAAAGCACATATATAGGAAGATAAAATTAGACTTAGTATCAGAAAAAGAAGATTAGTTGATGCCAAACACTTACATGGATCTCAAAGGTATAATTTATATGACTATTTTAAAATTTTGATCAATATTGCATATTTTGCATCTAATGATATATTGCATCGTACAATTATACCTTTTCTATCATATATAGTTATTCTTCATTATATTGTTATCTCATCATATTGTTTTTTCATTATATTTATCAGAGTAATACTAAAATTAATTTATTATTAAAACTCAATTTCTTTTTGTTATAGAAAGCTTTAAGACAAGAATCCATGGCAATAGACAATCCTGACTCCGGAGTATCTTCTGAGTTTAGAACCTTATAGTAGACCACTTTCAATGCAGACTTTTGTGATGTCTCTCAGTTTCACACAGACCCCGGAGCACCCTTTCTGTGTTGCATATAAATATTAAAATGTTACACTTCGAGAAGAAGTGTGTAAGAAAAAGAATCTCTTATGAACTGTTAGAAGCTGTTCAAAACAAAATTTTATACAATTTGTGATATTTAATACACAATTGCATTGTTGAGATTTAAATCATAATTGAGTGTAATTAAATTATAATATATATATATATATATATATATATATATATATATATAATATTATTTGTTAAGTTCAAATTGACGTGAAGTTAATTATTTCTATTTTATATTTAGAATATGTGTGTGATTGAACAGTGCTTGATAACGATAATTTATGCAATAATTTAAAAACAAGTGTACATAAATAACATTTTTTTTTTAATTTTTACTCATTCATGTTCTACTATTAATTAACAGTAGATTTTTAGTAATAAATTATTAATGTAAATGATAGAAAAGATATAATTTTAATATGCATTTTACAATTGCACAAATAATACAATCAACTGTGATATTATAACAAGAAGAAAATTTGATCCTTCAGATGTATAGGATAACTTATCTAGTATTTATAATATTAGAAGTAACAGGACAGTGTAAATGTTTAAAAGGCTAGGTTTAGTTATATATGGTAATCTTTATATTGACTTTGTATTAATTCAAGTCAAGTATTTTTTATAAATGATCTTTTTATAGACTGTTTGAAACTGTTTACAATATATAAGTGCATTATTGAGCTTTAAATTTTAATTTACAGTAATTAAATTAATAAGACAGCCAAATCTAATCATAACTTTCTTATTTCTAAAATTTTATCTTAGGATGTGTGTGTTTAATAAGCTTTATTTTTATATTTTTAATTTATAATTTAAAATTGTATAATATTAGTTATAAAATTTTGCTTGTTTCTGTTAGATACTGTTACTTGTTTATTATTATTATCAAAGCCATGAAAAGTGTGTTCAAATTACTGTTTTTTAAGTTAAAATTTTTATTTCTCAGTAGTTTTTTATTTGATATAAGACAAATTATATATTATAGTTTTAAAGAAATATATTATTTGCTAGTAATAATATATATATATATATATATATATATATATATATATGTACATTAATGTAATCTCGCTTTTGCCTAAAGAACAATAAAATTTTGTGAATTGATAAATTGGGTTTGTTTTGTCATATTTATATGTGAATAAACGGTTCTTTTCTTTCAGTTGAGAATATTTAATAACATTTAAATGTTTATTTAAAATAATATTTGTTTAATAGACATCTTCCACAGGTAATACAATCTACTGTGATTGCACTAATTATAAATAAGTATGTTTGTAAATGTATATTCTAATTTCAGTTTTAATAATCTATGTATTACTATTCATGCTTTAATTCTCAATAAGTGTAAAACACGCAGTAATGTATAAAACGATGTATAAATGTATATATTGATTTATATATGATTATATATGGCCTAACTGCCTCTGTTTGTATGGGAATTGGATATATAAATGTATATATTGATTTATACATGATTATATATATACTAGCTGCCTCGGTTTGTATGGGATTTGAATATATAAATGTATATATTGATTTATACATGATTATATATATACTAGCTGCCTCAGTTTGTATGGGAATTGGATATATAAATGTATATATTGATTTATACATGACTATATATGGCCTAACTACCTTAGTTTGTATGAGAAATGGATATATAAATGTATATATTGATATTTCTTCAAAACCGTTACCATAATTATATATCTAATAGCATATAAAAGAATCCAATGCGAATCCACTAAGATTCTTATGTACTTAAGACGATTGCATGCAGCGCCTCTATGTAAAATTGTTCCCAGTTCTCCGGGAACTACGTAGTGACTACCGGGTTCATATGGTTCTGTGTTAGATGTCGCCACCGTCGGCAAACATTTGACAGTTCTCAACGACACATATATATATACTAGCTGTCCCAGATTGTATGAGAATTGGATATATAAATGTATATATTGATTTATACATGATTATATATATACTAGCTGTCTCAGTTTGTATGGGAATTGGATATATAAATGTATATATTGATTTATACATGATTATATATATACTAGCTGGCCCAGTTTGTATAAGAATTGGATATATAAATGTATATATTGATATATACATGATTATAAATATACTAGCTGTTTTAGATTGTATGGAAATTGAATATATAAATTTCTATATTGCTTTTTGCATCATTATAAAGACCAAATTCGGTGCATGTCATTTTGCCTTAAGGCAAATTGCTGGAAATTTTCACCATAATGAAATGTATTAAATGGAATTTTAAATGGTTTCAAATGGATTATTATAATTTTGGGAGATGTAGAGAAGAAAGTAAGTAAAACAGGAAGAAGTTTAAATGTTTATTTAAAATGTATTGAAAAAATAAAACAAAATACTTAATAAATTTGCTTGGGGATTCGAACTCGAAACCTATAGAACAAGAACGATTGCCATTGCAGCCGAGGCGATTTAACGATCTCGTCCACGAGTGTAATACATGATTTGAAAATGCATTTTAGATATTTTAGCACAGTTTATAACTATTATTTATATATTATGAGTAGTATGTGCATATAGCACACGCTTTGAAATACTGCTTTTGTAATATTTCTGTCAGGTATATCGCAACCTCATTGGTCGTATCAGTTCTTGGTGTAGTGGTTACAGTGGCCTCATTGGTCGTCGCATCTTCATTCTTGTGATTGCGGACTATCGGAAGTGGAAGGAAGGTAAGTTATATAATATACGTCAAAAGCATGATGTTTTTTGTGTGTTGTCTTTTTAGAAACTATTTTTTGTATACCTCCCAAATTTATAATAATCTGTTTGAAAACATTTAAAATTCCACTTAATATATTTTATTGCGGTGAGAAGTTCCAGCAATTTGTCTTAAAGCAAGATTCCATGCACCGAATTTAATAATGATGGGAAAGCATATAAATTTATGTATCCAATTCTAATACAAACTAGGACAGCTAGTATATATATATATATGTAATCATGTATAAATCAATATATACATTTATATATTCAGTTTCCATACAAACTAGGCCAGCTAGTATATATATAATCATGTATAAATCAATATATACATTTATATATCCAATTTCCATACAAACTGAGGCAGTTAGGCCATATATAATCATGTATAAATCAATATATACATTTATATATCCAATTTCCATACAAACTGAGGCAGTTAGGCCATATATAATCATGTATAAATCAATATATACATTTATATATCCAATTTCCATACAAACTGAGGCAGCTAGGCCATATATAATCATGTATAAATCAATATATACATTTATATATCCAATTCCCATACAAACTAAGGCAGTTAGGCCATATATAATCATGTATGAATCAATATATACATTTATATATCCAATTTCCATACAAACTGAGGCAGTTAGGCCATAAATAATCATGTATAAATCAATATATACATTTATATATCCAATTCCCATACAAACTAAGGCAGTTAGGCCATATATAATCATGTATAAATCAATATATACATTTATATATCCAATTCCCATACAAACTAGGCCAGCTAGTATATATATAATCATGTATAAATCGATATATACATTTATATATCCAATTCCCATACAAACTGAGGCAGCTAGTATATATATATATAATCATGTATAAATCGATATATACATTTATATATCCGATTCCCATAAGAACTGGGACAGCTAGTATATATATAAATTCAAATCGCTACGTAGTTCTTTAAGAACTGGGAACAATTTAACATAGAGGCGCTGCATGCAATCGTCTCAGGAACATAGGAATCTTAGTGGATTCCCATTGGATTCTTTTATACGCTATTAGATATATATAAATTCAAAGTCGTTTTATTCAAAACTTTTATATGGGAGTGTATATAAGTGTTTACAAGAATTTGTAGTAAATTTTATCTAGTTTCTCCTTATCTAACTTAAAAAGAATACTTTTATATGAAATTTGTGAGTTATATGACAAAAACCATAGTTCAAACTTGATTTCATATTCAAGTAAAATGTGTTTAAAAAAACGTGAATAGTAAACTTGATATCATATTCAAATTGATTAAAATATGTTTGAAAAGAATGGTGTTAATTAACAATTAGTTATCCTAAGACTATTATGTATATATATATATATATATATATATATATATATATATATATATATATAGTCTAGTCTTAGGATAACTAATTGTTAATTAGTTAGAATTAAAAATAAAACTTGAACACTTCGATCATAATGTTTATTTTTCATGGATAAAGACATACATTTATTTAATTTTTTAGAATAATATTATATAATGAATACACAAACTATATACAATCGTTAGCATATAAATATAAAGATATGTATCTATACAAATACAAATTAAAATGAATAATGAATCATTAAATATTTACATAATTATTAATTACCAACAAAAAAATACACATTCACATTAAACATAGTTGCCGACTTATTATTAATTTGAGTCACAAAGTGCGTTTTTAAAATTTAAAGTTCCACGGAAAGAAAATACATTTATATAAAAATTTATGGATGTGAAGTGAAACTTCTAATGCGGAAAAAGACAAGTTTAGGAATAGTCTGAAAATTCCGTAAATTTAAGAAAATATTATAAATTGGGTACACCTAAGTCTGTTTGTACACGGTTTTGATATAACACGGTTTGAAAATTGAATATTTTTAATTTTTTTACACGATTTTATTCCATTTAGCACGATTTGAAATTTCATGTACTTAATTTTTTTTTGTCAAATTTAATTTTTGCGAAGTATGTTCATATCACAAAAAAGTATTTATGAAAGAAAAAAGTCTGAAACCATCGATAGTATAGTATCAATAGTTTGCGAACACTAGCTTAGATTTAAGTGAATTTTATTTTTTACCTTAAAAATTGAATAACCTATTCTTTTCATTCACAATTCAAATTTAATTTATATTACTTTTAAGATTAGAGTGCATATCTTTTTTATCATTAATTACTATGCTTGTGAAAATAAGCATTATATATTTGATTTAATAAAATAACATGAATTCTTGTTCTTAAAAATTCTTGTTTTTCACTAATTTCAATAGGTTTTAGAGATTAGGAACAAATCACCCATTTTTGTATAAGATCAATGCCTTTTTTTACACATTTTTTTTTTACACGGCTTCTTCTGGAATCAATCTACCATGTAAAAACAGACTTAGGTGTACTTCTCTATTCGATTAAAATATTTAATAAAAAATTTAATAAATAATAACTACCTATTTTTGTATTTAAGTCCGCTTTACAAAGTTTCACCTCATTCATTATTTTTTATTCAAAAATTGATATAGATTTAAAAACAATCTACTTCTTCATATAAACATGTGTATAAACATTCAAAGACGCTTGATTGTTAAAATGCACACTAACTTATTATCATTAGTAAAGAATTATTAATAAATTCTATCTGGTATGTACAAAAAAAAATCTCAAGCTGCATTATAAACAGCTTATACATATATAGGTATATATATATATATATATATATATATATATATATATAATTATAATAATAATTTTATATACGAACAACCGCAATTTCAAAACTCCGTTTTATAAATGAGACCAGTGTGAAGAGTCTTCTTCAGTCAAAGAGATCAATTCTGAAAAATAATAAATAAATAGATATTAGTAATTAATAAATTGAATACACTGGGGCCTCGCTTTACGGCCTAGATACGTTCCGCAAAACTTGGCCGTAAAGCGAAAAGCCGTATAACGAATCAATTATTCTAATACGTATTCATACAAATTCAATGGGATCGGTTCCAAATTTAATAAATATATAATATGGTTTATCATTCAAAATGCATTTTATTTTTTTATTTTGTTTAAATTATAAACATATTTAACAAAAACATAAATTTTACATAAAATAAAAAACTTCAAAAACATTCCATAATTTTTAAATACAGACCACTGTCACCATCATTTTGCGCTGGTGGTTTGAAAAATTTAGATGATGTGATTGATTTGTGATTTATAACAGCTAATGGCTGAGTTAATTCCTCGAGAGACATTAGCGGTACGTTCGACGTCAGGATCGTTTTCAAGGAAGATGTTATTCCTTGTTCAAAATATGAAAAAGCGCTCGACATGATTTTTGATGTTAGCTGTTTGGATTTGGACAACACGTTCTGTATCTTCATCAATTGCCGGCTCTGCTTGCAACTGATTAGCTGCAAGTAGATCCAGCACATCAGATTCGTTTAAATCTTCAAAACCGAGATCATGTGCTAAATCCAAAATGTTTTGTCTAACTTCAGGAAGGAAATTAACTTCTGCATCGGTAGTTTTTATACATTCTGGCCATATTTCTTTTCCAAACATGATTCATTGTTGTCGATTTCAATTCCTTCCAGGATTCACTAATGTTCTCAACAGCATCCTTGATATTATAGTTTTTCCAAAACGTTTGAACCTTTGAAACGTAAAGATATATAAAAATTTTCATTTTCGATTTTTTTGCGATTACTGTAACTTGCCCTACGCGAATTTAAAAAAGCCGTTATAGCAAAACATTTTAGGCCGTATATCGAAAACGTTCCTTAATTAAAGAGGGCCGTTATAGCGAAAGGCCGTATAAAGAGCGGCCGTATAGCGAGGCCTGGGTGTAATTGTAAAAAAGCAATGGTAGGCAATTTGTGACCCATGGGTCAACTTTGGCAATTTCAAGTGACCTACTTTTTTATTAACTTTCCGTAGGTCACAAATTCCATCCGAAACAAAAAAAAAATCAAAACAAATATATAATTTCAATGGTATAGATTCTAGTTGAACCTAAAAAATCCAGAAAAATTAATTCACCAAACTTGGAAACAAACTAGTGGGGTGGGTGGCATCGTGCCTTAAGGCAAATTGCTGGAACTTCCCGTACCGTAACAAAATGTTCGAGGAGTACTGAATGTTTTTGAATAGATTATTATTAATATTGTAACATTGTCGAATATTTATAAGTATTATATAAGCTGAATTGCAAATTTAAAATTATTTGTTAAGTTATATTAGAACTTTAGTCAGAATTAAAAATAAAATCTGAATTATTTTCGATATACAAGAAAAACTAAAAAAAAAAAAACTATACAATTTTTTTTCCGAAATCAATTATTTTGTTAAGACAAGCAGAAAGTTCTTTGAATCATTTAAATTGGACGCTTAGTTCTCTCAAAAACTGCCATTTCTTACATATTTAGCTCCGTATCTTTGAAATGGCTGGGCCTGCCTTTGCCAAAAACTAATAGACGCTTCTCTCAATCATTACTAATTGAATGTTTTTCAGATCATTCAAATCGGATATTCCGTTCTCTCAAAAAGTCGATTTCTATTTTCTGCACTCGTTGCTCCGTATCTCCGAAACGGCTGGACCTGCCTTTGCCAAAAACTAATCAGCTCTTTTCCCTATCAATAGGAATCGAATGTTTTTTGAACCATTCAAATCGGTTGATCCGTGCGCCCGGAAATGTGACTGGAAATTTGTATCCACACATACATACACACACACACACACACACATTCATTTTTTCTGAGGTATGCCAAAACGTTCAGAAACTTCAAAACGTCGAGAAATGTAAAAATTTTCAATTCCGATTTTCGGCCCATTACAATAACTTACCCTACGGGAAGTTAATAATGTTTTTTCATACAAAATTTCACTTTTGGTTGCTTAATAAAAAGTAGGTTAATTTTAATAAAAAGTAGGTTTCTTTTGAGGTTCAACTAGGATAGAATTTTATCCTGAATACAATGAATTCTATCTCGTTTCGATAGGACGTTCAGTTTTATTTTTGATATCTTTCCCGCTAATTAGGAAGGAATTAGGAATCTAAAAAATTAAAACTATTGCTCACTATTTCTTCTGTAATTCCAAAAATAATTTGAATTTGTTTCTTAAATTTTAGGGATATATTCTTGGCTAGTTTTGGAACACATTTTTGCAAAAAAAAAATCGTTTTTTTAAGCCTCTAAAGCAGACTTCCACCTTAAGTTCTGATCGCTGTTAAAATAAACTAGTGGGGTGCAAGGCATCGTGCCTTAAGGCAAATTGCAGGAACTTCCCGTACCGTAATTAAAAATCTTGGTACGGAACCCAAAAAAATTTACACAGAATGTGTACACATTATTAAAATCTCTATAAAATATCTGATAATTTGGTGTGCATAAGTCCAATAAACATTGTTCACCGCCAAATGACATCTTTTTAACTTTTTTTTTTGAGAGTCCATAACCGCTGGACCTGCCTTCCCAAAAATTTAAACAGTTCTTCATCTTGTCAATACAAGTAAAATGTTTTTTGAATTATTAAAATCGGACGCTCCGTTCTCTTAAAAACTGAGTTACCGTTTTTGGCACTTTTTGCCCCGTATCTTCGAAACGGCTAGATCTGCCTTCGATAAAAACTGATCAGAACGTCTCCTTATCAATACGAATCGAATGTTTTTTGAATTATTCAAATCGGTTTATCGGTGTTCCCGAAATCGTCGACAAAAATTTGTATTCGCACACATACACATACACACACACACATACATCCATGTTTTCTAAGGTATGCCAAAATATTCAGAAACCTCTGAAACGTAAAGATATATAAAAATCTTCATTTTCGATTTTTTTGCGATTACTATAACTTGCCCTACGGGAAGTTAATGATGATATATAAATAATAAATAATTCAAATTCTTTCCTCACCTAATATTTATATCAGAAAGTTCAGTTGTTATCAGAATCTGGCTGGTTATGCTTGTGTCCAGGACTCGAGTAACATCTTCGTTTGAAATCTGTTAACAACCTTTGAGACAAGTTGGTCTGCTCCACCTTCACGGCTTGCATGGTGTTACTGTTACAATAAAAATACATTAGGTCCAGAATAGAAATGTAACTTAATCTAAAAAATAAATCTTAACCAAATCTACAATAAACTAGTTGGTATTGGTATTTAGCCTTGAGACAAGTTACTTGAACTTCCTGATATGTGTAAATAAACGACTTAATCAATAAAAAATCAATTAATTTATGAGTGAAAACAAACAAACATGTTAACTCGGAGTATTTTCTAGAAGCAAATTTTCAAAAGTCAATAATTTTTGTAATTGAACCAGTTTCCGTAGGACTTTAACGGTTTAGTATGTTCATTAAGACCAAGTACTCTATCGTTATACCAAGTAAATCGTCTAATTTTAATTTTAACAAATAACAAAAAAAACTACTCATTTTCTCAAACTTTGATGAATTTTTAAAATTGAACTATTTGTCGTAAGGCCGTAATATTTCAGTAAGTTCTATAAGACCATGATATATATCGCAAAAAAAAGTTCCATAAAAATCGGCTTAACATTTTTTTTTCAACAGTTAATTACAAGAAAACGGCTCGGTAGATTTTCACCTAAAGCTAATCAGTATTATTCCCAACTAATATCTTTCGAACAATTTTTGATTTTTTAAAATCGGTTCGGTAGTATGAGCTTAAATGTAGATGGAAAGTTTAACACTCTTTTTCCAATTACAAAGAAACGGCTCGGCCGATTCTCGCACAAAACTGACAAACGATAGTCCTCATCGAGATAAATCAAATGGCTTTTAAGGTTTTGAAATCGGTTCAGTCGTTTTTGAGAAAACGTCGATTTACGGCAAAAAAATCTGTTCACATACACACACACACATACATACTTTTTCCATGATGGTCTCATTCGATTCAGAACTGCTTGAAACGTCGAGAAAACATAAAACTAGCGAATCGGATTTATTGGTGAAAACATAAACTTCGCCTTCGGGAAGTTAATAAATTGAACTCTTTCGTACCAAGATATGATCGTACTTAAAACGTAATATTTATAAATGAAATATATTATTTACCTAGTCTTTGTTAGTATTGTCCTCTCTGGTGTCGTAGTCATGTCCAGCGAGTACATGGCTGCAAGTGACCGAAGTTTTTCAATCTCTGCAGCGTCCAGGGCTCCAAGACGTAATTCAGTCTGGTGCCGGTCTTGCAAAAATCTATAAAAGATAAAACAATGTTAAAATTCGTTCAGTTCATTTTATTATAACAATTGCATAAAATAGCAATTGATACAATGAACAAAAATGTTTGAACTATTTGTAAACTATTTTCAAAGTCTTAATAAATACTTGGATATGTTAACACTAGACACTAGAGAACACATTTGTGTCAAGTATTATGTTACAAAGTTGTCAAGTGGATTTAACTCCTCTCTGAAGCGGAGTCAAATCCTAACCGATCCGGCTTCGGATATGATAAGCCCATCTCTATATCTACTTACCTTGATAATAGTTCATTAGCTGATGTCAACACTGTAAACCCCGGCCTTTCTTCTCTAATCCGCCTACAGCCGGCTCTTATTTCACGAACATCCAAACCAGAAACCTACCAAAAATAAACTCATTTTTATCCAATTCTTTATCTCATGTACAATAATAAAAATCCTCTATTCTTTATCCTTTATCACTTACTGGATCAGAACTGACGTCCCCCAAACTTCCGTCGCCCCCTGAACAACTGCCGGCACCAGCTCCTGCCCCCCACATGATGTCGTCGTCCATGGGACAAGTTGCAACCAGAGCAGTTCTAACGGGTGATGTAACATGTACTGGCGATGATACTTGTGCCGATGGTAATATTTGTCCTAGTTGAATGTGTTGGTTGTGCATACCACTCTATAAGAAAATAATAAATCAAAGATAACAGACCTATGTTATGTTATCACATGTTTCCGATAAGAGTATGTTGAAGATTTAGTATTCTCGGTGAATTTATTTTATCATGTTTTCTTCATATTGGCGCTCAATGTATTGGTAGTTAATAAAATTGTTATAGGCTTTACCTATGACATTTATACGAATGTTTATTTGAATTTTTGATACTGCCATTGGCTGAAAACTAACCTACAAATAGCACAAAAGCTATGAGTGCAACTAAAACCGAGTATAGTTACTATACCTATAGTAAGTTTTTGAATAAAATAAATGTGACTTTATAATATATAATAGTTTATAATATATAATAGTTACAATACCTAAAGTAACTTTTTGAACAAAATAAGTGTGACTACCATAAAATGTGCAACCGAGTTTTTCATAAGTTTCTGGTGGTTAAAAATAATAAAAATAAATATTAATGATTTTCTTAAACTCACTAATAATAATTTTGTCCTGTGCTGCTTCTCATGTCCTGAGTTTGTGCGTACTTGATGCTGCTGTATAGATGCCATCGTTTCATTTCCAGGAAAATCTGTCAGCTCATCATCACCTATTAAAATAAAATTAAATATTTTAGAAAACTATCAAAATCAATTTAAGTAGGTGTATGTAAGCGGTTTTTTGCCTTAATCTCGCATCAATAAAAATTGACATTTAGCTGTTCAAAACTTTAAACTGTTTATTTCCAAGATAAAGTTTTTCCTTTCACTAAAAAAATTAATCAAGTTTGATTTCCAAATTAAAGCAAATTTAAAATATCTTTAATTGTGATAGTTATGATGTCTGTTAAAACCAAAACTATAAACTAGTGGTGTGTATGGCATCGTGCCTTAAGGCAAATTGCTGGAACTTCCCGTATCGTAACGAAATGTTCGAGGAATACTGAATGTTTTCAAATAGATTATTATTAATTTTGTAACATTGTCTAATATTTATAAGAATTATATAAACTGAAATGCAAATTTAAAATAATTTGTTTAAGTTATATTAGAACTTTAGTCAGAATAAAAATAAAATCTGAATTATTTTCGATACACAAAAAAAAAATTGTACAATTTTTTTTTCCAAAATCAATTATATTGTTAAGACAAGCAGAAAGTTCTTTGAATCATTTAAATCGGACGCTTAGTTCTCTCAAAAACTGCCATTTTTACATATTTAGCTCCGTATCTTCGAAATGGCTGGGACTGCCTTTGCCAAAAACTAATCAACACTTCTCCCAATCATTACAAATTGAATGTTTTTTAGATCATTCCAATCGGATACTCCGTTCTCTCAAAAAATCGATTTCTATTTTCTGCACTCTTTGCTCCGTATCTCCGAAACGGCTTGACCTGTCTTCGCCAAAAACTAATCAGCTCTTTTCCCTATCAATAGGAATCGAGTATTTTTTGAACCATTCAAATCGGTTGAACCGTGCGCCCGAAAACGTGACTGGAAATTTGTATCCATCCATACATACACACACACACACACACACACATCCATTTTTTCTGAGGTATGCCAAAACGTTCAGAAACCTTCAAAACGTCGAGAAATGTAAAAATTTTGAATTTCGATTTTCAGCCCATTACAATAACTTACCCTACGGGAAGTTGAAAAAAATTCAACAATTACCAAGAAATTGTCCGGCCGATCTATATAAAAAATTGATCAACATGATTCCCAACTGATATTTGATACAGTTTTTGAATGTTTAAAAATGGGTTTAGGAATTTTGTCAAAAATGTCTTTAATACAAGTAAAAATAAGATTATATTTACCTTCTCTGTCACTTTCATTAGTAAGAACGGCCTCAGAATCACTTGAACTTAACGAACTGGAACTAACAAATCCACCCGTAGTATTCGAACAATCCATCACACCTTCATCTTCATCCATATGTTGGTGATGGCCACCAGCCATCGCAGGAGCATAAGGATTCCTAGATAAAGACAAACGAATAATTAACTAGTTGAATGTGGCATTTTGCCTAAAGGCAAGTATCAAAATCTTCCCGATAGATGCAATAAATGACCTAATCAATTCAAATTGAGTTTTAGACATTTAAAATGAGACATTTCAAATATCTCGAAAACGGTTGCATGCACCAACTCAAAATTTTTGTCACAATTTTGGTAAAGTCCAATTATAATTTGAGCCAAGTTTCATAAAATTCGCACAATCCGCTTTTGAGAAGATACGATCTGTTTTAATATTAGTCATATATTAGTACATATCATAGTACATAGCCAACCATCAGTATCTCAAATATCTCGAAGGAAATCAACACAGATAAATAAACTTTTTAAAGTTACATCGTAGTACTAATTTCGATTTAATAAAAAATGCCTGAATCAGAAGAATATTTTACCTTGTTCCTTGAAAATAATAAAACAAATTAAACATTTGTGCCATTGAGCGTGTACTAAACGTAAGTTTATTGATTAGAAATTATTTCTATATTATTCGTAGTTTTTATAAATTCTTGAAGTTATTAAAATGGAAAATATTTTTTAGGCAAGACAGATATTACAGCTGGTCAAAGAATGAGATTATATCGCCAGCGGAAAAGTAAAAAAAATACTATCAATCAATGAAAGTATGTTCTTTTTAATTACATGAAGTTCTTCAAACACAATTATTACATGATGAGCGAAATAGTGAAAACAATATTTGTTTAGGCGTTGTTTAACATAATCCACTGAATATTATAGATTTTTTAATCAACAATTACTTAATTTCTCTAATGAAGGCCCATTTCTAAATGCTAATTACAATGACAAACCGATCATGTCATATTCAAAGTATGACTTTAATTACATTATTGTTTTTAATATTTATATAATTATATATTTATATTTTAACTTCCCGTAGGGTTTTGAAGGTTTCTGAACATTTTGGCATATCTCAGAAAAAAAGGATGTGTGTGTATATGTGTATGTGTGTTTTGTATATCCGCATTTTTTCGTCCACGTTTTCGGGCGCACGGATCAACCAATTTGAATGGTTTAAAAAACATTCGATCCCTATTGATGGGAGATGTGCTGATTACTTTTTCGCAAAGGCAGGTCTAGCCGTTACGGAGATACGAAGCAAAGAGTGCAGAAAATACAAATCGAGTTTTTGAGAGAACGGAATATCGGATTTGAATGATCTAAAAAACATTCAATTTGTAAGGATTGGGAAAAGTGATAAGTTTTTGGCAAAGACAGGTCCCGCCATTTCGAAGATACAGAGCTAAATGTGCAAAGAATGGCAGTTTTTGAGTGAACTAAGCGTCCGATTTGAATGATCTAAAAAACTTTCGACTCGTATTGTTAAACAATTGCTTTTGTGGATAAAAAATTATTACATCTTTTTTTATTTTCCATAAAATATTTTTGTAATTTTGGATTAAAATTCAAAAAATTACCCAGGCTAAGCACAGTCTAAGCGCCACTCTGGTACAAAGTTTACCCAAGTGCGTTTAGACTGTT